CTTTTCATCTTGTAGCACCAGGCCAAATGAAGTCCAAAGAGCGTCACCCTTGTTCGCCAAGTGACCATCGGAGATCCAGAAGTCCCAGCCAAAGGCGAACTCGAAGTAGAAGTTCTTCCTGGGGGAGAAATAGGAGGCGGTCTGATAGTCTTAAAGAGTGAGTACCAAACTACTGCCAGATTACAACTTCTTTTCCTTACTTTTTTCCACAGAACAATTTAAAGAGTCTTTAAAGTAGACCACCTGGTTCATTGTTCATGACTGGGAAGTTTTGTAGAAACATAAGATCTAAGGTATCATATGTTGCATTAGATACCTCCTAATGTTCTTATTTCATGATAGATTTTACTGAAAGGTAATATTCACTAAAGAAAACCCAAAAATATATATATTTGAGAAATAAGGTAGAATTTTAGATAAATAAAATTTTACCTAGATGAACCTAACATTTCAGACTTTTGAGTTCTGATCATGGCTAAAGTCATAAGACATATAGTCACTTATGATAGGTCGACTAAAAACACATATCTTATAAAAGATTATTATTATCAAAAATAAATTCTGGGCCTAACAGCATTATAGGAAGAAGACATTAAAAATAGTAAATTTGGGAAGGGTGGGTGGGATATTGGTATATTTATCCAGTGATTTTTCTAACCAGAAGTTTGGTACTATAAGAAGCATAGCAAATTATAATAGTAATGATTTATAGAAGCCATTGAAATTGTAATTACAATAGTAGTGGTTTGTCCAAAATCTTACACATTTACAATGGTTATCATGAGGGTTAATGCTGTAATTTTTTTATAGGCATGTAAAATGTTAGGGTAAATTCTGTTTTGAAGGATGATCAGCATTTACACCAGTATGCTCTCTCAGAGTAAAGGGGTAAGCGGTCCTGCACTGCGTACAGGACACCTAACCTAGATAGGTTCACATAGTAACTTGTGTCAAAGTTGATTACCAGGGCTGCCCCCTTTCTCTCTTCAACCCTCACTTCTCAGCTCCCAAACCCTATTGTTGTTAGGGGTGATTGAGTCGTTCCAACCCATAGCAACCCTGCACAGTAGAAGACACTGCCTGGTCCTGCATCTTCCTCACAGTTGTTCCTATGCCTGAGCCCATTGATGCAGCCACTGTGTCAATCCATCTCCTTGATGAGGACCTTTCTCTTTGTCACTGCCCCTCCACTTTACCCTCAGGGACTGGTCTCTCCTGACAGTGTGTTCAGGGTATGTAAGATGAAGTCTCGCCATCCTTGCCTCTAAGGAGCACTCTGGCTGTACTTTTTCCAAGACAGATTGGTTTGTCCTTTTAGGAGTCTATGGTACTTTCAATATTCTCCAGCATCACAATTCAAATGCATCAATCAATTCTTTGGTCTTCCTGATTCAATGTCCAGCTGTCACATGTATGTGAGGCAAAGAAAAATACCATCATGGCTTGGGTCAGGTGCACCTTAGTCCTCAAAGTAACATCGTTGCTTTTCAATACTCTCAAGAGGACTTGTGCAGCACCACTTGTCAGTTTGTCCTACTGTGGTGACTTCTGTGATGCTGGAAACTATGTCACTGGTATTTAAAATGCCAGCAGGTCACCCAAACTGAACAGATTTCAGCGCCACTTCCAAGCTAAGAACAGACAATGAAGAAAGAATTGCTCTGAAAACCTCATGCATAGCTTTGAAACATTGTCCCAGACCCAAGATGTGAAAAAGTCCAATTTGGTATTTATCTACCAGAGCAAGAAAGCCTTTGCTGCCCTAAGACCACAACTCCTAAAACAGTGACCTGGTGTGGCTCCCACACTTCCAACCAATTGGGAGAACTAGGAAGAGAGAACCACATCCATGCTTTAAAATTTTTAATTTAATTTAACTTCCGTTTTCAAGAATCCTGATTCCTCTAGGAAATGTGGCCTATCACAGCCTGGGTGATATGTGACCACAGCAACCCTCATCTGCTGTGAATCAGCATGCTTTGATCTGGCCCCTCCTTGGGAAGTTATGAAGGTGGGTGGAAGCCGTGAGCACCTGGTTAAACCCAGAAAACCTGTTTTCAATAGACGATGTGAAGCTCATTCTATGATAGTTTCTATACTCAAATTTTTAAAATTCATCAGCTTTATGTGTTAAGAACAAACCTTTTATTTTTTAATTTACATGCCCTGAATACAGGGAAACATCACCAGTACCAATTAATTATAATACTCTGTCTTCACAGAGGTCAGAAATATTATAAAGGAGTGAAATTCAAAAGTTCAGATTAGCCAATGTAGAATGTGTATGTTTGTAGTCAGGAGAAAGATGAGATTGGTGTCTCCTGTAAAGATTTATAGTCTTAGAACCCAATGGAGCGGTTCTACTCTGTGCTACAGAGTTGCTATGGATTGGAATCA